TAGGGTTAGGGTTAGGGTTAGGCGCCCCCATACTGCGCCGCCATACTGGACGTCATAAAGTGTATTTGCACCGCATATAGTTATACATACAAATTTCTATAATCATGCGTCACGTTTGTCATAAAACAACATTGCATTTCGAAATCTTCATTTTTGGGTGCTGACACTGTCATTGACAATGACATGACACCCGCGACTGTGCTGCCACCCTGAAAAAGTTGCGCATTTACCAATTTATTTTGCACGTTACAGACTGAGTGCTATCCCAAATGTGCACTGATATTTATACCTAAATGCTATTTAACCAAACGATGTTAATTTTAGGACTTGTAAATTCGTCCATATTATAACTGAAACTAAGTGTCATTTTTAAGATATTGCAATCCTTCTGCTCTTAAATTAAGAAATAAGAAACACCCTCGGTCTGTAGCCTGCAGCCGAATCGTTGCTTTGCGCAACTTTTCCAGTGGATGCGCTTCCAGTGGCACCACCGTCGTTGTTAGCATCAGGTATCGCCGATCGGTATAGCCGTCAGTTTTAAAACATTTTTTTTAAATATTTCTAATAAATATTGAACTATAAAACTTTTTATGTAGCATAATTTTACCCTGAATAATATTGTAATGACAGCAAACCAAAACAATCACAGCCAGTTTCAGTGCACATCCAATCTTTATTCTGTCGGGTGCTGAACACAATATGGAGTGAACAAAGAAAATATGCCGTAATTCAAAGGTGAAAAATTGTGCCTTTACACGGGCATGCCGCGAAGTTACCACACACGCACGCGGGTGCACAAAACGATCCGAACCTACCGCGAGTCCAGTACAAAGAGAGCGAATGTAAACCGGTGCGGTGCCACCGCGCACATCGATACCAATGCCACCTTTACATTAAAAGGCAGAAATTAAGGCTGAAAAAGCCGAACCGAGCCCGGTTGTAAAATACCATCTAACACTAATTTACAAATATTACTCTTAATCTTATTTAGGCGGCATGTGTAAATGATCCCCGCAAAATTGTGACCTTCCAACGTGCAAAACATACAAAATGCGTCGTTAAACAAGATTCCGGAACGACATGACAGTGACAAAACAAATATATTTGAACTGAAAATATCTAAAAAACTTAGAGTAATTTATCCCTTTAACTTCAAACTTGTAGTTGTTGTACTAGTACTACTACTACTAGCACTAAGTTGTAGAAGTACTAATTTCAATAACTTATTGTGAGAAAGGTACAAATTTGATGCATTACTCCCTGGTATTATTTTAATCTAACAATTGACATTCAACAAATAAGTAGGGCCCAAAACTATTAAAACTTTAAAAATTAAAGCCCTGCCCCTTCAGCAGAAAATTAGTTCATCAGAAGTTGACAAGTGGCGTAGTCCAATAGATAGGTTATGTGCATGATGTGACACACACACCCCCACACTGCACAATCCCAGCTTGGGACAACGGCCCTCGCTTTTCGCAAATGATCTAAACTAGAAATGCCCCCCCTACTTTAGCTTGACCAGGTCGCAAATTATAGCAGCAACCACTGTTCTCCTAAATAAAGATCTCCAATGTGTAACTAGCCCCAAACATGCTTTTAATGTGATACAGAAGTGTTGTGGATTGCCATTCGAAGCGGAGGGTATAGGTTTGGGGGTAAACGTGACGAGAATTGTTATAGGCATGTACGGTTATAGGTACACCATTTTGACAGGTAGACAAAGGTAGCATAGTGGAGAGACGTAGGCTACCGGTCAATGACATCTTGTGAGATACGAGAATCCTTTGCTATCGACGTTGGCACCATTCCTAATCCTAACCTATTCATGACTGGTCTGATGATTAATGGATTTAGATACAGGAGTCTTATTAAGGTGGGGCCATAATAAAAATATTGTTTGCTTGCCCTCACCCGACCGACCCGCGAAAAAGGGGCCGACTCAAAAATTTGTATTGATCTTTCCCATTTTTTTTACAGATTGTATCAATGTACCTTATATAAATCTGTAGGCAATACATTATATGTACAAAGCAAAACAAACATTCAACATAAAAGGTATCTCCACACAAGCACGTGCTGAATTTGTAAAAAGACTCCCCTCAAAAAAGCCTACCTACCTACCCAAACATTTCAGCCTGGATTGGGTGAGGGCAGTGTTCGAAATTCACGTCGGCCCGTCGGCCTGCCGCCGACAGTTTCGATGCCGGGCCTACAGCTTCTTGATACAACAGGCCCGCTGATCCTACAGCTATTTGATCACCGAAAATTCGAAACACTGAGAAACTGTTACCTGTAGAAATCTGTTCATGCAAATTAACTTTCAGGGGTATTTATTTGAAAACTAATCCGTGATAAACCGTGACATACATGTATACAATGCGTCGCCCACTGCAATCAACTTTAGTTGGCATTCGAGAAACGTGCGTGGGATGTTCGGACGCACAGGTTAGCACAGGTTCCTGCATCCAGTAGCAGCGTTGGCATACCAAAAAT